TCAAATGGTTTGCTCATTTTTTTGTTTGTTTGTTTGGGTTTTTTCCCCCCAAATATACTGTAAGTTTTGGGTTATGGTGGATATTGTTTAAACTGTTAGCTAGCTAAAGCTCTGGGATGTGTAGCTGGGCTTAGATTGTGCCTTTTAGGGAAACTATGTACAGCAAGAACAGAACAGATATAGACTCACCATAGATTTACCCTGTCTGACAAGACCCAATATGGAGCAGCTGACTTGACAAGTGCTGGTAAATTGCTTCCTCTTGTGTGGCACAAAACAGGCTGAGAAATTTTGTTATTTGAACAGAAAGTTCCATGAGGACCATAAAGGGGAGGCTGCTGGTTTGTTTTATGAGAATAGAGTGCCACAGTGACAAAAAAAAGGGCCTTGTGAAATTTCCTAATGTGGTTTGAATTTTTTTATTCCATTTGGCTCTGAGATAACCTAATTTTAGAACTGCTGTCTGGTGGAGGAGAAGGGAAGAGATCAATGAATGACACTGACTTCAGAAAGCCTTAAGACTGTGGAGAAAGAGGACAACAGACTATTTGATGCTGGAGGCTTTGTAGTTTAGCAGGTGGGATAGTGCAGGAGGATAGCTCTGAGGCATTCCCTTTGCTCCCTGCTTCTCAGTCAATACAAAGGACTTTGGGATGTGGCACAGAGTCAGGGATGCTGTGAGGGGAGTCCAGCAGAGCACTTAGGACTGGTTTTAAAAGCAGAGTCTGGTGACACCGAGAGTAGCAGCAGGACTCATCAAGCAGAGGCTTGAACACAGATCAAGACAGGACACAGTGGCAGAGGCTGCTCCTGTGAACTCCATCTCATTCAGTTGCATGGACTGTGGCTTCCCAGAGTTCAACTCTGCTTCTTAGAGCAGATCTGAATGTGTGAGCAGCCCTTGACAGATCACGGGAAGGGTGTAAAAGCCTGCTCGAGTGGCTTAGATCCCACTGAAAGTGAGCTGTAAAGTGACTTGGAGCATCCATGAAATAGACTGAGCAGGATGTGAGTGACCAATTCCCTGTCACTCAGTGTGGGCCACCAGATTAGACTCTGTAAAATAAAGGGAGCTCTTTTCCCAGTGCTTCTCTAAGGCCTTTGAGAAAACAGGTTCCCTTTCTGCTAGACAGCCACAAATAGTACTGTACACAGTTTCTTCCACCAAAAACATAGCCTTCCACCTACAAATACTGAGATCCTTTTTAAAAAGTAGGCAGAATTTCTCATCCTGCCCCCAAGATTATCAGAAGGGAAACTGAAACAACGATCATGTCAGTGTCTTGATTTGCTGGTGTTGTCAGAAGGCATAGCCAGGATTAGCACAAAGGAAACCTGTGCTAATTTTGCAGCTGTCCCCAGCGAAAACCTTCTCAGTCAGAATCAAATGAGTGTCTAAATCTGTCTGAAAGGCATGTTTCAGAACCCATGAACCTTGTCTTGTTCCAAGCAGAACCTGCAATTTAGCATCAAAACTTTCAGGAGTTCGGGCATAACAGCAAATTTTAAAGAAAACACTGAACAGGGCTGACAGCTCATCTCTCTTTCTACAGCTCCAAGATAGACCAGTGTGAAAGGAAACACTAATGCTTGTGAGAGTCATCCTGTGGCAACTGATGTGTACTTCTGAAGGAGACAGGATTAAAATAGGGGAGGGGAGAAGTTACCCTGCGGGAGATTGTCAACAGATGTTCCATTGTAGTTCAAAGAGCACTAGCAAAAGGCTTCTGCTGCAGGGATATATTAATTCTGGGCAGTTCATCACAGGGAGACCTGTTTTATGACTGGGAGGATACCAGAAGGTATCTTACTTAGTTACCATAAGGGAACCTACTTAGCTCTTTATTTGAACTGTGGGTGGGGAGTCCGGTCTACCTGCAAACAGAGAGAGGGCTGAACAGTAGGAACAAACACGTACTTATTTTCTTCCAGCTGTGACCACTGTCAGTCTGATCAAGATCAAGCTGGTTTTGTGGTTCAGGGGGTAATTTGGATGATGGGTCATTCAACAGAAAAAAATATTGCAGAGGAACTGAGGCTAACCATTGTTAAACGGCTGGGGCACGTGAGGCAGACCTGTGTTGAGTATGTCTTTCAAGTATATTTATTAGACAGGAAGTGGGAACAAGCACAAGGAAAACTGTGCAGGCTGCCAAGCAGATGAACAAATTGATCCCTTTGTCTTTAAAATGCACAAATCTATCAAGTTTGTCTAACACCCTATCTACGCTTCTTTCCTGAAATAGTTAAAAAGATTTCTTATAAAAGTTTACTGATGTTGCAGAATCAGCTATGGTGGGGGATCTAATTCCCAAGCACTGTATCACCAGGCACAATTAGAAAGTCGTATTCTGAGTTAGGTCTAAGTGCTTTATCTTCTGAGACTGTTTTGAAGTTGTGCTTTGGGTGAAGGTTCATTTTTCTCAGATCTGTGAGGAAAAATGTCCCCTGTAGCATTAAAGTGAGGAAGAGTCTTCACTGAAGTGTGGTTGGATAGGGAAGTTTGAAGTCCTTTGTTATGCTTCAATTCTGGGGGGTTGAACAAACAATTTTGGGAGCCTAATACTGGTGGAGACACTCATATTTGCAGTCATGGTCTTCCAGCTTTGCTTATCACTTAGGTATGTATCAGGAGGACTACAGATTTGGCTTTTTTATGCACAGGAAGTGCAAGACTTTTTTGCCTTGTGGGGGATGGAAGGGAATATTGGAAAGAAGATTCCTGTTTCACTTCTGCTACGAAGTGAAACAGAGGTAGCAAGTAGATGGGAACATCCCTGGCAGAGGCTCAGGAGGTTCACGTAGAAAAACTCTCCCCTTCCCCCATGACAAATCCACATTTATACCACTTTGAATGTAGTAGTAGAAATTTAAGTATAAATAATGTGGATTTGTGCAGCCTCCTGTTTCCTTCCTAGGTGTCTGGGAAATGACAGTAGGCATGTCTGTTCTCCCCTGGGATGAGAAGAGTACCAGCTACGAAAAGCTTCCCCGGTTCTGCACCATTTCGTAGCCTTCATTACTGAAAACTTACTGCTCTTCCTTCCTTGGCTTGCTCCTGCACCTCTGCTCCATGGATCAGTGGAATGCCTTTTTCATTCTGATTTAAGTGGTAACAAGCACAGGGGACTGTTATCCGTGGGAAATCCTTATGGGACTGTGGGTCTTGTGAGACCCACACACTGCCTTGTCCACTCCAGTGCTCCTCGAGGCAGTTGCTCTGCCTCTGAACAGTGTCTTTAGCCTTGTTTACAGACTTGCAGGGTGACATGATGGTTAAATACACGGTGTCTAAACCTAAAATACAGGCACTGAGCCATGAAGGACAACTGAGTGGGCAGAGAACTGGCACGTAGCACAGGTAACCCTGCCCTTGGCACAGTAGCTCTAGCACTGTCACTTTTCAGCTGCTCAAATCCCTTTCCCTTCAAAACATGAGTCTGGAGAGAGGAGGAGGGGAGGGCAGAGGTGGCACGTGGGTCTCAAACTCTGCTTTTCTTTTTCCTGGGTTTCTTTCCCTTCTATTTAGCTTTAAACCTAAGTGATTTGATTCTTGGTCCCTTGCTAATTAATAATATTAATTAGCCTTAATTGTCTTAACCCAGGAGGCATTAAAACTAAACCTCATCAAAAGCAAGAGCTGTGTTCAAGGGGAAATGCAGAAACTGGCAACAGTTGATTTCTGGTTCTGTCAGTTTGCTTTGCTGCACTGGAAAGATGAAGCCCACACAAGCAGCCCGTGGTCCATCTCCAAACCTGGCCACCTCAGAGACTGAATCACCTGGCTGGGAGGTCAGAGCTTGGATGGGCGAAGGCAGAAAGCTTCATTTCCAAGGGTGGCTGCCTGCACAAGCCTGTCCTGCTGCTGCCTCTCCAGCTAACACAGACCTGCACTGTGCAACCTCTCCAACAAGGCAGCTCAGCAGTTTGTTCTGCAGAGAAAGAATCAGCTCTGAGGGGGGTTGGTGGTAAAAAGGCAGAACACTAGAAACTCCAACGTAAAGCACCAGAATAATGCTGACTTTAGACCTGAGAAGTCTGGCTTAGTTGTGGCATGTTTGTTCTGTTACTTATTCTGTTTTGTGTGGTTTTATGTTGAGTCAGGACTGAAATCTCTGCAGGGTTTAAAGTTCACCCCCATGTCTTCAGATTACTCAGCAAGCAGTTTGCTAGGCTATGAAATCTTTGCTCTCCCCTTGCACTAGATCTCCCAGGGATTTGCTTTTCTAGATTTGTTGTGGGAACTCTTTAAAAAAGAGCGTAAGCCCAATGACCAAGTAGTTTCACTCGCCACCTTTTGTTTTTGCAATAGAAAGTTGTGTAATGCAGTCTATATGACATGAGCTGCCTGATTTTGCCAAAGTATTCTGACAGCTAGGAGAGACTATTAGCTCAGGAGAGACTCCTACCAGGTCTTTAGCAAAAGCTATGCTTTTGAGTCCCTCCCTCCCTGTGGGTCTGAGCTCTGAAGGGAAGAGTTCAAAACAGCTATAAAGCTAAACAAAGAGAAGTACAGGCCTTTCAAATTGCTTTGTCTGCTGTACTATAGAAAGAAGCATGACAGATGATGCTACTTAGGTTTGGATTAGGCTGGCTTTCAGGATATTTCTCTAAATAAGGTTTGGGGTTATAGTTGACAACGGAGGAGAATATCTTCAATCAGAGGCAAAGGAAGGGAGTCTAGAGGTGTAGGTTACATTATTTGGTCTAGTGCGGTTCTCTAGGACAGATTTCATCTGATTTAACTGTATAGAAATTAATCTCAGTCAACCCAGACAGGGAATGACCCTGACAAGAAGGAACACAAGCAGGGGGTGGTGTCCTTCTGAATGCTCAGAGCTACAGTTCATAGCTGTCTGGCATTTTCTAGTATCAGCCTTGTGAGTCTTCATGCCCCGGACTGCTGCTGTTGAACCTATGACAGGATTCACTAGGATCTATAAAAGCTTTTCAGTTAGATGTTTGCAATGAAAATATGAGGACTGAGACAGCTTTGGCATTTGTAACTTTATTGCAGAAAAAAAAAATCCACTATCAACATATTTTACAAAGAAAGTCGCACTTTGGTGTTGGGCGAGTTTTCTTCCTCACCCCTTTCCCCTGGACAGCGATGCGTGGGAAACCAGAACAACCAGCCCCTGCCCTTTTGATTGTGTGCAGAGACACTTTCCAGCTATGCCAGCCTGCACCAGTTCCAGCCAGGATGGTGTTCTATTTTCCACGACTAACTTGCCAACTTTGTGCCGAAAACCAGTAGCACCCTGCCCTCCGGCAGGGGAAACAAGTCTGTAGCTAGGGAGATGGCTCTGTGCAGACAATGCTGGATAAAAAAGCTTTGGAGTTGTGACAACTGCCCTTTAGTTCTCATGCCACAGTAGGAGAGAACCAACCCTTCTTCCCTATGTCATTGGGCATCCTTACAAAGCCAACAGCTGAACCCAAACTGCACTGCAGCCATTTGTCAGTCACTTCGGAAGGAGTAACACAGGGAGGAGGAACTGCTGCCTTGCCCAGTTCATCTATCTGACCCAGGCCAGTTCTGCTCCATCTTTGGGCTTTGCAGATAATTTGGGCCCTGCTGATGGGGAAATTCCCCTCTTCCTGCTACAACAAGCAATAACAGCACTGTGAAAAAAAAAGGTACTTTTGCTAGTGAGGCCTGGTATCTGTCCTTTGTGGGGTCAGTGATGTTGCTACTAAAAGGAGAGGAGAAACTGAGGCTTGTAAGAGCAATGTGGCAGATAATCTCTAGCCCTTGCTGTATCCTGAGGGAGCAACTGGCTTAGTCAAAAGTCAAACACTCTAGAGAAGGCATTCCTATTTACCTGCAGAGAAAAGTGAGCTAGGAAACAGGAGCAAGTGTAATTACATGAGGACTGTCATGTCACACACAGTCTGGTCTTTCTAAGGTGAGGGCACCAAAAGATCCTTGGACTTACACTCAGAGGCTCTGGTCTGTGGGTTTCCTTGAGGGGCCTCAAGAGCCTTGGATGCAGTCTAAAGCAGTGACATTTTGAGGCAAAAGTGCAGAATCTAATCAGCCTAACACCTAGAAAGGGAACGGGAGGAAGGCACCTACATCCAGGATCTGTCCTCGTGATAAGACACGGACTGGCTCAAAGACCAATATCAGAAGGTAAAGGAGCTTTGACCTTGCATAGCACAGGAGGGACAGGGAAGCAGAGCAGTCTATTATCCTCCTGGTAGGTGTTTCAGGATGGACAGTGCCAATCCTGGGACTAAAGCTGAAACAGGAACAAAAAAAGTGCAAGAAAAAAACCCCAAACAAACAACCTTAAAAATACAGAACAAGAGGGAGCCCAAGAGAACTGATTTCCACATCCTGGGCTCCCTCAGAAAACAGCAGTCTCCTTTGTTAGCACTGTGCTGACGCCACCAGTGTTAAGAGCCCTTGTTGGATCACTTGCCCACCTCCTTTGAAACCAGCAGCCACCAACATGGACAGAAAAGATCCATGCAGAACGTGATGGCAAAGGTTGTCTTGGCTAATTGGTCACCACACTAAGAGGAGGAGGCAGCTCTTCAGGGCATTATTTTGAGAAGAGCCTGGAGGAAAGGGCCAGACTTGGGCTCTGATTCGCAGCATAGAAACTTCAACACTGAACTATTTAAAACGTCTAAAACGAAAAACCATCTGAAAAGGATCTTTCAGTTGTGTGCAAATCATAGCCCCTCATTCCTTGGCAGATCATCTGGGACCAAGTCCTCAAGGCCTTTTCCTCAGGGAAGTTCAGCTGGCCAGGCAGAGGACAACCTGGTTGCCTAGTAGCTGTAGAGTGAGAGAGGGGTGTCCTCCATCATGTCATCCTAGAAGCAGAGAAGAGTGCTTTAATGAGATGTCTGCACGATGGCAATGCGGTGCCAGCCTGGAAGAGTGCTGTGCAGGCAGCACAGCCTTCTCTCCACACTGTCACAGTGTGGCCATCTGCCCAGCAATCCACCTAAATGCTGTCCCTGGGCAGCTCCTGGATATTTGGACTGCCACTCTCCCTCCTGCTCCAGCAGTTGGAGAGAAGAGGTGTGTGCAGGAACTGCCTGCCTGCTGCAGGGATGTGGAGAACCCCGGCTGTTGAAACCTCCACTCTTGAAACAGCATCAGCTTGCTTGCTAGCTCCCATACTCCTCTGTCCCAGAAAGCACAGTGTGTTAGTTGCAGCTTCCCCAGAGCTAATTAATCCTATAAAACCCTAATATTTTTTTTACATTCCCAAAGGGTCAAATGCAGACAGACAGACAGACAGACAACGCCTTGGAGCAAAGCACAGAATCTGCTTTGTCACAGTCACAAAGCAAATATATCAGAAAACAGGAGAAGAGGCTAGGAAAGTGTCATTTCAGGACAAGTTTGGATGGAGCTCTCCTTTCTCCCTCTATTTAACCTCTTAGCATTCCCCTGCAGAGTGAGGGGAAGGCAGAGAGCTTCTTTAGTGCCCAACCTTGAGACTTGCTGTCTTGATTCAAACCCTGGATGGAAGGAGAGGGACCTAAGAGGGAACAGGAGTGTGTGATCAGCATTGCTGCTGCTGCAAATACCCAAAGCATTGCTAATATAGTAGCAAGGGAACTGCAAAGCAGTCAGTAGCAAGCCAGACCATGTCAGGCTGGGCTGAAGGCATGACTCACCATGGGCAGGTCCTGCAGGCGCCGGAATTCCATGCGGTTGTTGTGCTGGCGGTACCTCAAGAAGCCCACCAGGCCGAGGATGCCCACCATGACAATGAAGACGGAGATCACGGTGATTACCAAGGGATCAGCCCTTGTTGTATCAGCCAAACTGGGTTGCTCTGCAAGGACACCAAGGGAATGAGGCCAAAGGAGAGCCTTCAAGGGCTGGAGCAGCAAAGCTTTGTCTTTTCTGGTTCTGCTCAGTGCAAGCATGAGGCAATCTGAGGTAGCCCCAGCCCTTTGTTATGTTTTATGAGAGCAGGGACAAAAGCAGAACATTTACCTGAATTTTCATCATCACCAACATTCAACACAGAAGCTTTCTCATGTCTGGGCTCTGATGACTGCACCCGTGCAGATGTGCTGGTGGGCATGGCAGCTGTGCTGGCAGATGTGGAGCTGGTCATGAGGGGTCTCACCGTGGCAGTCCTGGAGGCGGTGGCAGAGGACACGCTCTGTACGGTGGAGATGGGAGCAGAGAAGGTTCTGGGCTCTACAGTGCTCTCCTCTGTGGCACCCACAGGGCTCGTTCCTGGCCTGGTTTCAGACCTTGCTGCTGTGGGCCCCACGGTCTGCTCATCAGAAGGCCCCAGCTGAGAGCTGTTAGTTGTTGCTGCAAAATAGGAATAAGGAGTTAATTTAAAGGCTAAGTGCAAGCACACTGTTCTGTGGAACTGGGCAAGATGGAAGCAAGGCTGTAAGGAAGATTGCTGGGACTACAGGAATACCAGCTTACTGTCAGTCCCTGGGAAAACAAGCAGGATTGACAGAGAAGGCACAGCTGAGCCACACTGTAAGTCACAGTGCTTAGAAAGTCCTCTTGGTTTTCGTATGTGCCAATCTGCAATAGCAGCCAACCTCAGCTGGACCCACAAGGCTTGTCCTTGGGGACAAAGGACAAGCTCAAACAGCTCTGCACACAGCTGAGGGTTACCCCAGAGCAAGACACTGGGAAAGGTCTCTCATCTCTCCTTATGGGGAGCACAAAGGGGGCTGCCCAGGGACTGGGGCTGTGTTGTTGTATCACAGACCCTGTGACACAAGCCAGGGCAAACGATGAGATTGCGCATGAACACCGTGCAAATCAGGGGCCAATCAATATCTGTCTTGCATTAGGGGGGTGTGACAGCCTGGCAGGCCCCAAGGTGGGCAAGACTGGGATCGTAGACCCTATAGCCAGTCCCCACGCTGCTCAGAGGGACCCAGGGTAGAGGCTCTCAGAGTTGCCCAGGGATGGATGGGCTGATGTTTGTGCCTGCCCATCTCCGTGCTTTGTGCTAAGGGAGGGTGTGCTGCCCCATTCTTTAGGCAGCAGGGAAGGCTCCTGCTGAGCCTCCAGCCCTGGTGCCAGAGGAGCACAGCTGGGCAGCCCTGCTGAAGTATGTTGTTTCAGATGAGACATATAAAGGATGTCCCTGCACACAATCACTGTCCTCATCACAAAGCAGCCAGCCCAATTAATACATAATTGACATGGTTTACAAAGAGGATGCTGAACTAACACCTCTGCAAGTCCCACTGAACTGGCTACACTTAATGGCTCGTTCCCTTCTCCCTTTCTCCAGTTTCTAGGAGAGTGCTCAGATATTTCCAGGCTGAGCATCCTTGAGGCAGGACTTTCTGCACAGGCAGTAAAGGCAAAACCTCACCCGGCACAGTGTTCAGAGGAAGTGAGGGGGTTGCACTGGCGGCCTCATCCGTTTCTTCAGTTGTGCTGAAAGGCTCTGTGGCTTCGTGGCTGGGCTGGTTTTCTTCCAGAGTGCTGGCAGTCAGTGTAGGGGAGGGGATTTCAGTGCTGCTGTTGACTGATAAGCTCATATTGTGGTGCTCAGGATGTGTAACTGTGATGTCCCCAGGGCTGGCAGTGGTGGAAGCCTGCAGTCTCTCTGCCTTGGAGCCCGCCATGGGGGTGGTAGGGATGAAGCCATTCTCCACCTCTGTAGTGTGGGCCCCAGTGGTACTGAGTGTTGCAGAAGTCAAGTTTTTCTCCAGGCTTGTCTGAGGAATGGCAGTAGTTGCTGGACCAAAGTCAGAAGCTTCCCTTGGCTGATGTGAGGTTAGCACTGTGCTAGGAAAAGGTGATGGTGTCTCCAAGGTCTCTCCTGTCTCCTGTCCCTGTCCTATGGAACAGAGTTAAGAACGAGAAGTTTGTCAGAGATCCCACACTGAGAGGAGAAAGAAAGCAGAAGGACAGAAATAGAACCTTTTTATCCCCTTAACTCCAAATCCAGCACAGATTCACACTCGGGAAAGGGATTCAATAGCTACTCTGTCCTCCTGGCCTTCTGAGGCCTGAGATCTGCTCTAGGTGACCTTCCTTTACCCTCCTCCCCCTCAAGCCCTGTGTTCTTGTTCTGCGGGGTCAGCATCACCAATCCCTCTACCCTAGAGCAACCACAAAACATTTTTCAATTATATGGGTTTGTTAAAAGTACCACTTGAGACCTGATTCTGTAGGAAATTTTGATAAGTCTTCCTTGGCTCATCGAGAAAGAAACAAAAGTGGTGCTGAAAAAATACACATGAGGAAAACATGTAGACCCTCTAGCTCCCTCAGCCTGATGAAGTGGAGGAAAGTGATATTTAAAAAGTCTGTGGCTGGCAAGGGTAAAGCATATATTGTGAGTCATTGTAGTAATAGTGTGGAACTACTGCTAGAGGGAGAGGTAAAATGGGCAGCAAGAGAGTACTACAGCTAACAGGGCTGTTGGTGTTGAGAGTCGCCTTCATGAGCTATTTACAAACACATCACCAGCATGAAGTGCAACTATTGTCACAGAAATGAGGAGCTACTCAGCCTCCCACTACAGCAGAAAGGGCCAGCAAGCAAGAATTTCTCCAGATCCACAGGTGTTAGACAGTGTGACAGCATATGGGAGGAGGAAAACCACAAGGCTCTTACACAGCCCCTTCATTAACACGGATCCTGTGAGGGTTTTCCCGGGTGTAAACAGGAAGAAAACAGAAATGTAGCCACATCAGGATGGACTGTCCAGACAACTTAAAAACCACACAGTCAATATTTTGATGATTTCTATTCCAGTTTCTACTGAAGTCACAGCGGCCTGATGAGCCAACTATACAAAAAAATAAAGGTACTGAGGCAAATCCATCATGCCCCTCCTGTCCATCATGTCCACGGTGAAGAGGCATCCAAAACAGATGCCATCACCAAGAAACATTCATCCTACAGCACAGGATGAAAGGTACAAAACCCACTTTTGTACTGCTTTGGGGAAATCTCAGTAGTTTTTAAAAGCTTTTCAGAACAGACACAGTTATCAGAGCTCTTCTCCAGCTACAGCACTTAACAGGCCCTAAAAAAAGACACAATACGCCTCTCTCGAGACCTTTGCAGTATCCTGACCAGTTGGAGAATTCCAAACCTCAAAGCAGCCTGACAGAGCTGTGCTTCCCCGGCCCAGGGCCTCAGTCCCAGGAGGGCTCCCGCAGGGATGCACAACCCTGTTCGGCACTTTTGGAGAACAAGCTCTCACGGGGAGCCCCAGCTGGGGCAACTTAAACATGAAGACCAAAGGCGTAAGTGATGCTCCCTTTGGCCTCGCCTGGATCCAGCTGTCCGTGGCCAGAACGTGCCTCCAAATAAGGCAAGCTGCTCTTTGGAACAGAGCTCAGGCACAGGATATGCTTACACTAGTAACACCTGGAAGGAAAAGAGCTGAGCACCGTGTTTCCTGGGATCAGGCACCAAAATACACAGCTTTTCATGTGACAATTTCCAGCCCTAAACCCATCACTGCTATTCAGCACGCTGCCCGCTGGGTGAGATCCCACCAGCTCCAGAGCGTGCGCTGGGCAATGCTGACGGATCCCGGCTGGGCACTGGCGGATGCTTGCTCAGTAAACACCCAACTGCTGCTCCCACGCAGCAAGAGACACACACAGAGCCGCGCTGTCACCGTGGGGAAAACAGGAAAGGTGGTGGCCAGATGCCCAGCCAGTGGCAAGCCTGGCTTTCAATAGCTGGCCTGTGCCCGGAACAGCCTCTCAGGAGGTGGCAAGCCATGACTGAGGTCATGAAGGGGAAAGATTTGTGGAGAGCTGTCTTGCAAAAAGGCCTAAGTGACTCTGAAACCATCATGACAGCTTCTGACTAGAAACGGAAAGCCAGAGAGAAGGTGGACAAGTCTGGACTCCACACACAGGGCACCTCCCCACAGTGTCAGGAACTGGCAGCCCTGCCAGAAGGTGCTGTGGGACAGCAGTGTTTGTGGGGACAAGCAGCTTCCCCTCACCCCGCTGTCTGCAAGAGTAGTATTTCCCTAAGCTCTTCTCTCCAAGTAGCCACACATCTGTCTCCTTCCCACAGAACTGTCTGGTGTCCAGCACTGCCAAGGAAGTGGTTCCCTGGCAAATGGGCCACTCTGGCCCAGGCCTGGTGTAACACAGCACTGCAGTTTGTAAAACCTGGTTTGTAAAGAATTGCAGAAAAGATGTTAAAATTGGCAGGTGAGGAGCAAGGGAGTCGCTGAGAGGCCTTTGAGCAAAGCAGGTGTTGATGGCACCTGGATTAGCAGGTCATCCAGCCCAGCACATCACAGCACCCCCAGCTCCAAAAACAAAGGAGGGCCTGATAAAATGGAGAGCCTAATCCAGACTCACACAAAGACTCAACCCATTAAGAGATGATGGTGGAAAGACAGAGAAGGGAAGGGCCAAAGAAACAAAGGACTGTCAGTAAATCCTGATCACCCGGGGACAGACAGACAAAACATGGCCATCAGGGGACAGACAGACAAAACATGCCCATCACTCGTCTGTCAGCTCCTAATAAGGGCACATCCAAAGCCACCAAGCACAGCACCTGGGGAAACCTCCCATAGGAGCAACTTGGTACTTGTGAGCTGTGGGTGTTAAAGACTGCAAGCACAAATGACTTCTGTCTCGGTTTTGTTTTAAAATAAAAACACCTCCCCAAAGGCCCTTGCATTAAGATTGCTACATCGTTGCTGCAGTGCCACAGCTTTGTTTACCACAGTTTCATCACCCAAAAAGGCAACCCATTCCCACCCAGCTCCAGCGCAAACCCTGTGGTACAGTGGGGAAAGCAGAGTGCTGCTGTGGCTGGCTGTGCTGGGGGAGACCCAGCAAACCCCGCACCAGCTGCGATCCTCCAGGGTCCAACCCCCGGGGTCTGCGCTGGATCTCCGGTGTCCAACAGGTCGGGAAATCCCCAGCTCCAGCGCTGTCGCTGCTGCTCCAGTCACTGGGCAATGTTGGGTTTAGGTGTTTATTGGTTACCCATAGAGACGCAGGTCAGAGCTCGTTCCTCTGGCGTCCTCCTGGAGCTCTGCTTCCTGCACCACACGCCAGGTAAGCCGTGCCCGTACTGCCTAAGGCATCACCCTCATCAGCTCCTGGAGACAAGAGGGAACCGTGTCCTTCTTGTCTCAGATGGAAAGGGAAGGAGTTAGTGTGGATGCTTCACTTTCTCCAAGTGATCCTCCAAGGCCTGACAGTTGCAGCAACCCAGCACAGCTGGCAAAGGTACGCTCATCCTTGGATCCATAACAAAGCAGATACGACTGTACCAAGCAAGAGCTCTGGACATAACAGCATCTCTGTTTCCCTGACAGGGAACCAAGTGTGGGCCTGCTTTGGTTACACTGCAGTGCCTGCTGAAGCAGAGCTGGCTGCTGGTCCCCTGGCTACAGCCCCACTCATGCCCCCTGTCTGTACTAACCTCCAGGCTCAGCCTGTGCGTGGTGAGAACCAGAGATTCCAGACCACATTAGGGCAGTGCTGGTAGATTTGGAGCAGCAGCTCCCATCAGACTGTGCTGACTGCAGTGACCTCTGTCTGGGAAACAAGAGGGGCAAAGGAAGAGGGCGGCCCCAGGGGAGGAGGGATGCAGCCAGCCAAGAAACCCCTGCCTTGGACAAGGATGGGAAACACTCCCAGCTCCTTGAAGGAAGGGAGGGCTCTGAACATCAGCCCACGGCTTCGGCCCCTCTCCAGCGCTGCCTGACACCACTGAGGGCTCTCCATGCCATCAACCCGAGCTCCCACCAACTCCAAAGCAGACATGGCAAAAATATGCCATAACGGAGAGGAGTGAAGGAAGCCAGTTCTGCGGGAGACAGGGCCATTCCTGCCTTGTGCTCCCTGCCCGTTTCAGGGCTGGGGCCAAGTGAGGGGACAGGGAAGGTTTGCACAACGAGCACAGAGCATTGCTGCTGTGTCAGGGCAACAACGCAGAGCAGAGACATGCCCTCCATCCTCTGCCACAGCAGCCACCCCACTAGTTGTTTCTCAGAATAAAACAGTGACACAGAGCAGGGCCTCAGCTGGACCAGCCCATTATGAGCTCTGGCCACAACCCTCATGCCACAGTCTCAGCAGCATCCTCTGCTCCCTCCTTCCTGTTTCAGCCAGAAACAGCAGCCTAAGCTCCCCAAAGGTCAACACAAATCCAAGTCCTATCCATAGACTTTACCACTGTTTCTAAAATCTCTCTTAGGATGAGATGGAGGAGAGCCACATAAGGCAAGGAACGCCATGGCAGGCTGGCTGATAGGGCTCAGGGGGAGCGGGGCAGCAGGGTGCAGGCTGCAGCCACTGCTGGAAAAGGTGCAAAGAGACCAAAGAGCTGAGCACAAAGATGAGAAAGGATTCACTCAAGATTTCAGAAAAAGTTCCTGTGGGAGGAGGACTCCCTGGTGTGGATGTATCCTCCTGTGCAGGCTGTCACTGTCTGAGGGCAGCACCTCGCTTAAATCAGCTTCCTACAGAGTGCATGTCAAACCACTGCTCTGATTCATTGAAAAGGCACTCAAACCCTTCTACAATGCTATTTTGGTGCATTAAATGAATTCAATGTCCATTTAAGTTTAACAGATCCAGCTGCAAACAAACCAATAAAGTGGAAAAATAAAATGTTTAAAAAGTAACAGTGTAAACTGTAACCTATATGTATGAAAGCAATTACATCCTATTGCTTAGCAAAGTACTCAATTAAGCGTAGAAATTATCTTTGGTTGTCAGTTATTACCATTTCATGGTTACCAACCAACGGTAATTACGCAACCTCTTCAAGGAAAAACAGCTTGAGTATAAATGCAAAAAAACCCCATATAGTGGGATTTAAAACCAAGGCTCTTCATTTAATTTAAAAGCAGAACTGGAATAGCTGCTAATTAGATACTAGCCAAGCCTGATGTCTTCTTTGAAAAAAAAAAAACCAAAACAACACCCAAACAACAACCAGCAGAAGAGATTTCTGGAGCCCTTCAGGAAGGTGCCAGATGCACCCAGGGATGCTGTAGAGCAAACACCCTCATTGCAAGGAAAAGAGGCTCAGAGACGTGGATCCAATACGAAAGGCAGCGCTTTGCAAACTCAGCTCCAGCTCCAGCTCGATACCTTGCAGGACCTCGATGGAGGCAGGATACCAGTGGGCTGCATTTGCCACGCCCTCCAGCGCTCTCCCTGACAGGGCTGATGCTTGGACTGTCCCCATCCCTGCAGAGAGAGGCTGGACAGGATCCGTCTGCTGCGAGGAGTCTGGGCGTGGGGCGTAGGCTCAGATCTGACCTTGAAGCCTGCCCCCAGTGAAGCTCTTCATGGCAGCGGTTAATTAACTGGACCCCACGTAGCCTCTGCGAGCTGTTGTGCAGGCAGAAAACTGGGGGGGAGGGGGGCTGAACCAGGAGCTGCAAAGCAAGGTCTGAGGTAAGAGACGGGAATAGAAACCAGGTCTCCTGACCGAGAAGCTCCTTCCAGCCCCATAGGCAGGTGGCCACGAGCAGAGCACGAGACAGGGTCAGATTAGATACAGGGTGCTGAGTGAGTGTGGTGCTGGGGAGACACAGCCCAGCACCCAACCAGCCCAGGCAGGAAGGAGGAAGCCTCCCGGGGGCATCTGTGGATGCCAGGCTGCAGGCTTGAACTCCTGGGGAAGTAAGAGGGGAGGCAGTGCTACCACCTTCACTGATGGCACTGTGTTTGGGACAGGGACAACCAGGCAACAAGTGGCATGGCACAGCAGAACAAGAATTGTGAGAACACGGATGAGCAGCCCTGGGAATGGCACCATAAATGCCAAGCACAGGTATTTCAGTACTTGGAAAACCCATGAAACAGCACAGGCATGTCCAGAGCATGCAGCACTGCTGGAGCCTGGGCCAGGGAGGGGTGCAGTGCCAGCCTGATTGCCAGCCTGCAGGACACAGCACCCCAGGGTGGCATGGTCTGCCTGGTCCTGCCACATGAGACCCTCCTCACCCAGCCAGGGTGGGGAAAGATGCAAGAAACTTCTTTTCCACACGTTTCCTCCATCACTGATCCTCCATTTAGAAGTGAGGGGGCTTATCCCAAATTCATGTGGCAGAGAAAAGGGAGAACAAGCTGTTTTACCACTGCTGTCACACCAGCCAGTTATTTTCCACTGGCCACATGCAGCTATGGAGCATCCTGCTTGGCAGGAAGGTGCCCAGGAGGCTCCCGTGCTGTTTGTTTTTGTTCCTCAGTGGGGGACTGAGCCGTGATAAAGATCCCTTTGCCCACAGGCTACTAGGGATGTGCACAGCACCCACGGCCTGGGAAGCCTGCCCTTCTGCAGGGCTGCATAACCCCAATAATACAGCAACAGCAGGGAGCTCTGGCATCAGCCAGCCCTGGCCCTGCTTACCTCAGGAGTCACAGCTGCACTGAAGGAAGCTTTCACATCATTAGAGAAAATTAATTAGCCAGTTGCCTTAATAGCAGCCCCATGTCAGCAGGGAGCCTGCTCTCCAGTGCAGCATGGCATGAGCCAGGGGAAGTCTGGACATCAGGAAACCTGCCCAGCCCTGAGCAGGCCCCAGGTCCTTCCAGCTGTGTGACTGCTGGTTCCATGGGCTGTGAGGCTTCGAGGATGCATCCTGCCCTGAGCAGCAGTAGTTTGGGTCATGTTGGCACATGCCCTGGCCCTGCCCTGGGCAGCCCTACAGGGCTCAAGATGTGGCCCCAGATCCCAGCATTGCTGAGCCTCATGAGAGCTGCCCCACAGAGCATGGTGGGGATGGCACCCTATGGAAACCCCTGCAGCAAGCACTGTGTCTGCCCACCCAGAGCGTTTTGGTAGAAAGGAAGGAGGAGCAGGGGCCTCTAAGCTTTGGATAGTCCCTGCTCCCCTCTGCCTGGAGCGATAGGGCCAAGGGAGCTGAAGGAGGTGAGTGCTTTGCCCCTGCCCAGAGGATCAGGTCTTGGAAGGGCAGCAGGAAGCCAAGACCCATCCTGCACCTGGGGGTGGGGGAAGAGCACGTGCAGAAATAAAAAACTGAGAGCACTACATGATGGGGATGGGCAGGGGCAGCAGGGTCAGGGTTTACCCCACACAGCTGGAGGTGCTGCCCTAAGGAGAATCGAACTACAGCTCAATTCTGGAGCCATCCTGCCAGAGCGAGGATGAGTCCATCCACTCCTCCTCACCCTGGGCAACAAGGGGAAAAAAATCATGATAAATGGGCTGTAGGACCCAGCAGCAGACACACTGCCCGCCTGTGTGTGCAGCCCCGGCACCGACAGACGGGGCTTTATGTGCTCACGCTGCTCCCGGCCCCGCGCTGTCCTCTCCGCTTGTGAGGCAGCTCAGGGAAGGAAAGGCAGCAAAATGCCCAGACTAAAATTACTCGGGGTTTTATTTTAAAGGCGAGTGGTGCTGGAGGAAGTGAATTTCCGCAGGCAGCGAAGAAAGGCTGCATTGAGAGGCCGGGGTGGGCAGAGCACAGGGTATGTGGCAGCCTGAGCTCCTCCGTGGCCCCGCAGCAAACCTGGACTGGGAGTGGGAGCAGGACACTGGGTGCAAGGGGGATCTGTCCTGGGAGCATGGAGCTGAGGCAAGCAGAGTTCTGGATGGATTTGTCTAGGGAGTGATGACTTTGGGGCCAATCTTTGGGTGAACCATTCCTTTCCTCCATCATTGTCCTGCTGGAATTCTCTGGTGTTTCGTTAAGGGTTGTGCTTCTGGCATTTTTTTATTGGTAGCATGTCTTCGCTGCTATCTATTTTCACAGAATATTTGCTCTCTCAACCCTGGCTAGGATTAGCTAGCTGATCCAAAAGCTATGAGGACAAGGGCCAGGTCAGCTGCATAGGTACCATTTCCTGAGGCTGTGAAGTGACTCTGGGATTGGAACGCTAAGCAGAAAAGATCCCAGGAAAACCCCAGCAAAACCTTAGCTTCTGGTACATTCCAGCAGTTTGAGCCTTGGACTTTGCAGCAAAAGGGCTCCTAGGAGCCAGCTGGGGTGAGAGGCTCCCTGGGGTTTCCCAGTGTGCTAGAGTGTGAGAGACAGGGCCAACAGAGTCAGCAGCAGCAGCAGCCCACAGCTCCTCCTCCT